TTATAAGAGCAAATAATAATAATAAAGTTAAATATTCAGATGCAAGCTTTTATTACATAAGTTGCTCATGATATTCTCAGAGAAAAAAAATAAAAATAAAATAAAAATTACATAATCATTATGCAAAATATTGGTGGGTTATTTTTGTGTCTTGTTTTTGTGTCTTGTTTTTATGTCTTGTTTTTGTATCTTGTTTTTATATCTTGTTTTTATTGATGATAAATATTAACCAAATAAATAAGAAAGAAAAGTTTATAAATAATAGCTAATAGTTTCATTAAATTTTGAAGTTGCTCGCTAAACTTTACTATATTTTAATTAACACTATACTAAAAATCATGTTCAATTTCATCTTTGTTGAAATATTCAATCATATTCTTGATGAGTATATTGCTTTATTGCCATCAAATTATCAAGTGAAAGCTTTAATTACACAGGAACTTGCTAATAAAGCCAAGTCAATTTTATTAAATAAAGAATCTACAAGTGATAGAAACTTATGCTATTGATCATGCAAGCATTTCTCAACTTTGAAGATAAATGATATTATATAGCTAGTAGACAAAGAGTCATTAAAAGTCATTTATCTAAAAAATGACTTGTATAATATTATCAGTCAATTACATCAAGAATTACAATATACAAGCTATCATAAAATATACAAAGCTGTAGGTTGGATAGTTAAATTAGTGTCAATATCTATTATTACTCAATTAACCGCAAATTTTTTTTAAAGATCATTGCTCAATATAGTTACATATCTTGTATTATAATACAAAAGTTCATTAATGTATGTAATATATATATAAATTGCTATCAATTATTAATATTATCCACTATACAGCCCATAATCACACTAGAATTTATGACACATCTACAAGTAATAACAATAATTTATCAAAGTTATCTCCTTCTAAATAATTAATTAAAAACCTTATAATATTATTTTATTATAGATTAATCTAATAGATATATATACAAGACCAGATACAAACTATAAGTAAATTGCACATGCAAAAGATCACTTTACCTAATATTCATGGGCTTGTCCACTTACCAACAAGGAAGCAAAATATATGACAGGCTTTCTATTAAATATCTTTATGCAATTTGGTATACTAATAATTTTACAGTCTGATAATAGAAAAGAATTTATGACATCTATAATAAAAGAAATAATTATGCTTTGACCATTGACAAAAATAATTAATAGTAAACTACATCACCCCCAATTATAGGGATTAATTAAAAAAGAAAATAACATACTGAAGATGAAGCTGTTCTCATAGCTTGAGGAGAATAGAAGAAGCAATTAGAGTACAGGATTACCTTTTGTGATCTGTAAGAATGTAAAGTAATAAATATTAATATTATTTAATATTATTTAATTTATACTTGATTTTATACTGTAAGGGCGATCAATACACAGGTATGTACTACTACTAAACAAACATCTTATCAGTTGGTGTTTGAACAAGCATCACAGAGCACATTAGCTCTAGTTAACATGTTGTTTAGTCTAGGAATTCATGATAAAGAGAAATTGCCTGATAGCATGATTGTAGATGATGGTTTAGATTAATTTATCGATGATAATAGAGAGAGAGTAGTATACATGAATAAGAATATGACTACTGGAATAGAGCAATCTATAGGAAATAATAGAGAAAGAGATGTAAGTAGTAAGCAGTAGTCAAAATAATACATTCTGTGTAATTACTAATATAAGCGTAAATTTAGAGTGAAAGAGAGAATATGAATACTGCAGAAAATACTGCCAGTATTGAAGTTGATAGTAGAGAAATTACATTATTCTTAACTTAAGAATATTGATTATGTTGTACTTTATACTTATACATATTATAAATAGATGAGACAAGATGGAATTATACTGTTTTACATGAGTTGATAGTCTAACAAGTTTAGCATAATATGGACTTGATAAAAAATCTTGTGGATAATAAGAACAAGAAATGATGATTAGTATTTGACATTGGTGACTGTGTTCAAATTAATATTCCTAAAATAGACAGAATGAGTATAGATAGAAGATCGCTTTTCTGTAAAGTTCTGGAAGTTTTAGGTGAAGGCTTGTATCATCTTGGATATACTCATGGTATCTTAGAAAACTGTTATCAACTATGTGAAATGGAGAGCATTAGTATCACATTCACTGAACTGACAAAAATACCCAATAACAGAATATCACTCATCTAGGCAGCAAGACTTCAAAGTTCAGCAACAGTACAATACTCAGTATGTTGCTGTAAAACTAATTGTAATACTAATCACTATTCTTATAAGATATTAGGTATTGAATGTGACTCCAGGTGTCATCCTTCACAGTCAAAATATATAAACAAGGAATAGTATTTTTTAATATTTAACTTTATTATTATTATTTGCTCTTATAATTATTTAATAAATGTAATAATTGTATTGATTAATGATATTGGTTGGGTGACAAAATCACACATCACATCAAATAATTGGTGTAACATTTTGATATGGGCCGGTCAAGTCAAAATCATGAAATGGGCCAGGGGGTAATTGGATCATTTTAGAATGGACCAAATTTTGATTTGGTCCAGAACATATATATTTTAAATTTTATAAAAATTAAATCAGTAGTTATAAAGAAATTAGATTGTAATTAAATTATTTACTATATAATTTTTATATTAATTTTAATCAAATTTTATATAGTAAAATTTAAGAAATAATAATTCAAAAAAGTTTATTATTAGTAAAATTTTTTTATAAAAAGAGATATAATAAAAATTTTTACATTTAAATAAATCCCAATACCTAATAACTTAATTAAATAAGAAATTTTATTTTGAAAAATAATCTATTAATATTTATCTGATATACCAATCTTTTTGCACCAGACCATATTTAATATAATAGCCCTAACTGCATATAAGAGCGGTCTGAATCTATTTTTGAACACAACTTCTATTTCTCTATCTCTATATCGACTAAAATCATTTTTTTCATGATCCCACCACCCATTTATTTCTACGTCCAACCAGGTTGCTTTATAAATTGATCCAAAACCCCTTTTTTGCAAGATATTTAACGTTGGTAAATCTTCAAAAGGAATCCATTCGAATAATCTCTGCTTTATTAATCTTGTTGTTAGATTGTCGATATCTTTTATCTCCGCTAATCAATTTATCTTTATAAATTCGTTTGTGATATTTGAAACACTGTTTATCCTCGATATAATAAAAATTATATATCATAGATAAATTTGAAGTAGTATTTTAATTAATAGGAAAAGCTAAAAAAAAACGTATATAAGGAATGGCCCTTGGATCTACAGATAATTTCTTTGACACGAGTACATTTACTACAATCATGCAATTCCATCACTATCGAAGATTCATTTGTAACTGGGTTTTGAGTTGTTCCGTAATCAATAATATCGTCGTCATCATCACTGCTGCATTTAAGAGAAGTCAGAACCATTTATGAAAATTGATTATATTAGAAAACGAAAAGTAATTTTACCTTTAGAAAATGTTCATTCTTTACCTCGTGTATAAACTCTTGAGTAATTTGCTTTGAATTGTGTAATGATTTCAACACAAATTTGAATTCTCTCCGTCGTTTGAATTTATTTGCTTCATAATCCCATTTTCCATTAATGGTCCATCCAACCAGGCTGCTTTATAAATTGAGCCAAAATCTCCTTTTGCAAGATATTCAACATTAACAAATATTTTAAAAGGACTCCATTCATTTATAATTTGTTACATTCTTTTATTAGATTGTTGTAGCACGAGTTACCAGTCGCACCTTTCCTATTCAAAGAATTAGTCATGAAGAAATAATTGGTAACTTAAAATTCAAACCTGGGACACATATCGGCAAGGAATGCACCCAAGCACGCAATACTGTATTGGTATTGTCTGATCGAGATATGAGAAGGTCATTACAAATAATATTAACCACTTATAATGTTAATACTGATAATAGAATCAATCATCTATCAAATATTTTTAACGCGCCTTGACGCATCCACATTTAGCACCAAGAATAAATTTTTTTACTCTTCTTTATTCAAAAAAAACGAAAACCTACCTTATTCCATAAAAAACGAAAACCACGTAACACACACATCCTACATGGCCACCAGTTTGTCTTAATAGAGCAGAATAATAGATACATATAGCAGCGCTAGTCATGTATTCATGTGCCAAAAATACGAGCAAATATATTCGCTTTGGGTATATGTTATCCTGATTTCGATCCAAATGAATTAACATCGCAAGAATCAGCAATCTGGCGTTTAATTCCTGAGTTACGGTTGGAGCATTTGACAGGCAAAGAGAAGGACGAAGAAGTGAATAATGATTTTGAGAGCGAAATAGATGATGACTATGAGGAACAAGACAGCGAATTAGGCACCGACCTGGATGACGAGCAAGACAATGAAAGCGACGGCTAATTCTTGAAA